ATTTTTAAATACAAGGATCTATTTTGCTACTCCCTGGTACGGGTGTTCAAAAATATCCGATCCGAAATATCCGTCCACGATCCGGGACGATCCGATCCGAAAAATGGATATCCGATCCGATATTTTAGCTTTCGGATATTTCGGATCGGATACCCGAAAAAAAATGGATCGGATATGGATTCAATTTCTGTAATTTTTCGGATAATCGGATATCCGACTTTTTTTTGTTATATGTTTTTGGAATTTTATAGATATATATTATGACTATATGTTTAAATGTAATTTTATGTTGATTTTGGAACTCAACCATTTTGGACTTTTTACATTAGCATTTTAGAATCTTTTGTTTTAATAGTGTTTTTTTTGTTTGTTTAGGAAAAATTACCAAAGTTACTCCCAAATTAAATTTGGTATCATTTTTTTATTAGGTCATTACCTAGTGGTGGAATTTTTCTTTTAGTAAATCTATATTGAATTTGATATTTTGGGTTGATTTTGCTATTTTACCTTTTTTTTTGTAAATTTTGGCTAAAAACTCAACTTTTCGGATAATCCAGTGATCCGATCCGAAAAATCGGATATCCGGGAATATTTTCGGATCGGATATGGAATGAGTTTTACGTGATCCGAAATTTATGGATATCCGAATTTTCGGATCGGATCGGATCGATCCGATTGAACACCCCTACTCTCTGGGTGCATCCGTCCCAATTTAAGTATCTCTTTACTATTCACATGGTTAAACATTAATCATTTTTTTTACCTATTTTCATGACCTATATGATAAAATAATAGTCTTATCACTAGACCTGTCAAAAATTGACCCGATCTACTTTTTGCCCGAAACTTGACCCGAAAACACTGGGTTTTGAACAGAGATTTTGTTGACCGAAAACACTGGGTCAAACCCAACCTGACCGACCCGCTAATATAGGATTTTTTCAAAATCATACACTCCCTCCGTCCATAAATAAAGCTCCCGTTGTGCGTTACGATATTTGACTGAAGTTATTTTCAAATCATTTTATATGAAAAATGGTATGGAAAGATCTACAAAACTAGAGGTGACATTATTATATTATTTTCTCAAATAGGACACGAAAATAGGCAACAAAGTGAATAAAGTTTGATCTTGTGAATAGTGAACGAGAACTTTATTGTTGGAGGGAGAGAGACCTTTACCATGAAATATAATATTATAAAAATAAGGTTATAATTATACTTTTTTACTACTCGTTTTAGTGTCTAAATTTATATTTTCGTATAAAATTTTAATGATATTGCATAGTTATCTTATTATTTTCAAAAACTATGCACCTTTTAAATTCTTTATATTGATTTATATACCTAAAAATTACTTCAAAATTTAAAATAAAATAATATAATAAATTTAGTACATATTTTTTGATATTTTAATTTTGTTTAATGTGAAATACAGGTGTTAATATGAATATAAAAATTTTAACAACAAAAGTCATAACTCGTTGGGTCGACTCGAGTTCGATGACATTGAGTCATTAACATACACTTCTCAACCTATACCTGAATTGATCTGAACCCGAAGTAACCCGAACATGAAGTGACTGAATTAAATTCCACACTAATTTTTAAATGAATTGACTTGAAAATAATTTCAGTCAAACCTTATAATTAATAACAGACAATTTAAATTTGAATAAAGGGAAAAAATGTCTTTTTTTATTTAAATAACAACGTTCTCGCGTCTTTTCATTTTAGTCCATTGGTGTATCTACTTCTCCTTTTTCTTTATATTTTTTTTTAGTTTGCATTATACTCTCCATTTGGATTTGTGCTTATTCTTGTTTACGAGACCTGATCGATTTTATTTTTTTTAATTTAATTTATTTAATTGTAAATGTGAAGTTTAAAAATAATATTTACATATTTAAAAATAACATAAAAAGGTTTTAAAAACAATAGGTGATATAACTATTTTATATTTTATATGGTGATTTTTCAAAAATGTCCTCCATACATTTTTTGTGATTTCATGCTTAAAAAAGAACATAAAAAAAATGCCCACCATAAAAATACACGAACACCCAACAAAAGAAACAAACACATAATTACATACTACCTCCGTCTCTAAAAGATTGTCACAGTTTGAACTTTTTGGTCTAACTGTGACACGTTTTGACCACATTAAATATAATTTAAAATAATTAAATTAAAAAAGTTTGATGTTTCAAAATTATATTTTAAAATAAATTCAATTTTATTAAATTTATATTGTAACTAAATATACTTTTTTCATAATTTGCGGTCAAAGGGTGCCACAATTTGACCTAAAAAGTTAAACTGTGGGAATCTTTTAGAAATGGAGGAAGTATTTCAAATCCAACACCAAACACATCAACACATCACACCATTATTTTTAGGAAAACTTTCTTCCATGTCACTAAAATTACACAAATGAAATTCTATTTAACCGGAACATAAGTAGCACATTTGGGACTATCAATTTACTGCCCAATAACACACACAAAAAATCCATAGCTGTTATGGACGGCATTAGCAACAAGGACGTTGCCGTTATTGTATCTTCAATCCTACATTCCACTCCAATTCCCTCACCCAAACTTTTCCCTGTCATAGCAGAAGACGAAGAAGTAGAAGTTAATGTTCCCATCAAAAACTAAAGAGGAATCCAACTAATTGCGTATAAAGTCGGGATCCACTATTCTAACCCAAAAGCTTAAACTGATAGGTAGAGTTTCACCTTTCTATATATGTTAGTGGTATTCATCTTTATTTTCTGGTGTGTCCAACACTCCCCCTCAAGTGGTAACTAGCCTGACCTAGTTAGCACTTGGTCAAACGAGTCTAGCATCTTAATTTCTTATAGCTATCCCACACAACGGGTGGTGGCATCTCAATCTCTTTTTAGCCAACTCAACCCAAACCACGGACGACGGGTAGCTCATTTTTTTGCTAAACCCACGTCCAACAACCAGGAAGAACCGAACCTGGACCAGACCCTGCTCCAATACCATGTAAAAGTTCCGGTTGGCCGAGAACAGGTAGAGTGTCGGGTAAAATTAACCACTTGCACATAAAATCGGGATCCACTATTCTAAGTAGAGCTTCATCCTTCTATATATGCTAGTGGTATTCATCTTTATTTTTCGATGTGGAACTCCAACAGCTATATAAAAATATTACTTTTATTCTACTCTTTTCATACGAGATCCTACTCTAGTTTAATTTTCCTTCAATAAGTAGGTGTAAATTCGTCATAAGCAGCAAGCATGTAGTCACAGAGTCATAGTTCATTCCAATTTATCACCATTAGTTCCTCATTTAGGTTTGTTCCTTTGGGTTAGAATTCCAGATTTAGATGTAGGAAGAAACTAAAATAAGTTGAAAAAAAGTTAGAAGGAGTTGGAAAAACTGGAAGGAGTTTGAAAGTTTGGAAGAATTAAAAAATTAAAAAGTTATTCAATTAAATGATCACCCAAATATATATGTAACAAAATTTTAATTGTGGATAAAAAAGTAATCATCCATGTCTGTGTTTGAGGTGATATGTTATAAATCTGGATATATAATGTTATTGTATATTCATCATATATAAATATCTTTTTTTAGTCGTTGCAAGAAACTGAAAGAAGTCGGAAGAAATAGAAAGAAGTTTGAAAGACTTAGAAGTTAATTTTTCTAACCCTAAAGAGCAGGGCCTTAGTATTATAATTAGAGTGTTGCACCCATTAAAGCACTTTATTGATTAATTGCACCCACGTAAGAAGAGAAGAATACTCCGCTAAGAGTCCTTGTAGCAAAACTTTGAATCCGACTTAAACTACCATAACACATCATCCCCTTCTTTGTATATGATATGTCAAACTCAAATTGTGGATCATCATCGTCTTCATCCTCTATCCACGCAAGAGGATAGTGTAATACATTGCAAGCTTTTCCCTTAATATTGATATCTGGTTTTCAATTCAAATCTCATTTAAAAACAACTTCAAGCTCTGATTGGTATAAATCTACATGGCTAGGGACATATGAGAAATCATTTTTATCATCCAGTCCATCCATCACAATTCACAACAATCTGTAATAAAAGCACAAACAAGACTTAAACTAAATTGGAAAAGTATGATCAATGTAAGAAAAGTGAAGAAAAACATTAATCTTAGATGTGGAAAGGGGTTTGAGGTCCCCAAGATATGCACTTTGTAGATATGGATGAAGAAAAAACCCTAAATCAGAATTCAACAAATTGTGTTAAATGGAGATCCCCAAAAGACGGTACAAGGGATGCTAAGATATGTGCCCTTCACTAGAGGGGGGCTGGGGGTGAATAGTGAGGCACACGGATGTTGATAATTTTTCACGGAATAAAAATCGCAGGGATACGATGAAGTGTGGAATTAAAAAGTGTAAGGAGAGAATACACCGATATATACTGGTTCACCTCAACTTGTGGCTACGTCCAGTCTCCCGATAGACTCTCTCGAGCTACACTACTTCCGTTAAGCTTACAGGTGGTTAACAAATCGGTACAACCTAAGAACTTGAGTCACACAACCTCAATACACTTGCTCGGAGATACCGCACTCCAAGACTTGACCTGAAGGAATATACCCTTCCTTTGTACAACCAAACGAACAAACCTACCTTCAAGTGTTTACAACACTTAATTACTCAAGAGCAAAAACTCTCTTAAAGAGTAGAATATGAATAAACTAATTTAGATCAAGAACCCAACAATTCCTCAAGAAATGGCTCTCAAAATCTATATAAAATGATTGTGGAATGATATAAAATAATGTGTTGAAATGTGTGAGGAATGGTTGTGAAAAGTAGAACCAAGACACCCTTTTGTATACCCAAAAACAAGGTGCAACGGTTGGGAGAAGATTGAGATTGATTGGTTTGATTTGTGGAAATAAAATCAAGGAAGGCCTATGACAAAAACTGCCTGAACATCGATATTCAAGTCTATACATTGTTGTTCTCGCTTTGTCTTTCCTCTTAAAATTGGCTAACAGTTATGTGAATTGCGATGTTTAAAAGCGTACATCGCTGTTTTAGGTTTTGAATTTTAAAGAAGAAAATATTTTGTCTTAAATAACTCTAACAGTTAGCTGTGAACATCGATGTTCATGTTTGTACATTGCTGCTCAAGACTCGGCTATGATTCCCAGACCCGACTTACAACAATGCTGTACAAGGCACTACATCGCTGCTCAAGACTTGGTGCCAGGACTGAGATTTCCAGCCCTTCCCAGAACAGCGGTGTAGTGACCCCTACATCGCTGTTTGGTCTAGAAGCCAAAAATCAGGTTTGCCCTCCAACGCTAAAAACCGATATTAAAATTCAAAGTTTCCCGAATTAAAAACCAAGTGTTGGAAACGCTTATATAATATATTTGAATTAAAACCCAAGGATAAAAACTTAGAAACCACGTTGTTAAGGTAACAACCACTGATCAACAAGTTAAAGACGATTTTCATGATTTTTTACCAAAGACCAAAAACTAAAAGTGGTTTTTACAAAGTAATTTCATGGAAACCTTTTTAATGTGCCTAGACGTAAAAAAACAGGCATAAAAATTTGAAAACCACTTGGTTGGTTCAAGCGTCAGAAACCAACACCGAAAACCGAACGCCGAACATTTTGGTTTTGGTTTGGGCAAAGACCAGGGTTTTTGGCAACTTAAAATACTTATGAAAATCATTTTTTGATGCAAAGCAAATTTTTTCATTATTTTGATAAAATTATTTTATGTTGAGATCTAAGCCTTAAGTTGATTGTCGGTTCTTGATTACAATGACTACCAACTCAACTACTTCTTCAAAGCTTGACATGTTGGTTCTTTTACTTTATGCTTTCCCTTGCTTCGCGCCTTAAGTCATTCAATGAAGCTTCTTTGTAACCACGACGGTTTGGCAATCATCAAAACCTATCAAAAACTGAACAAAACTTTAGTACAATATTATTGTAAAGTGTGTTCCAACAATTTTCCCTCTTTTGATAATGACAAACAAGACGGGGATGTGCATATAGAAAAAAGTTGTTTTCGAATTTCTTTGAAAAGTGTCCCCTTGATTCATGCATAAGTTAAAAAAAACATTCCCCCTTAATTTATGTATAGCCTTTATCTTCCCCTTTTGACATTAACAAAAAGATTTTTAAAATATAAAAAGTTTTGTTATTAAGGGAAATGGAGAGTACACTACGGAAGCATTAAAAAAACATAAGGGAATAGAAAAGAAAAGAGAAAAGAAAAGAGAAAAGGGCTAGGATAGCCTAAGGCCTAGTCTTCATCCGTGTCTTGCTCGTCTTTGTCGTCTTATATGTCAATTGCATCCTCATCAATCTCTTCATCATCGAGTGAGTTTGATGCAACGTATGATTTGTTGTTGTCAAAGGGTTTGTAGTCTTTCCCGAGGAAGATGAGTTGGCACGGCGGAGGCACGCAGTTGACACGGTTGAAATAGACTTGCATGACATAACCTTGGCATTGAACCGTTGTGTCAATGCGCTCAATAGCGCTGCCCATCCCGTCAATGGTGAGGCGCAAACACCGAATGGATCCGGCAATAGAGGAGGGGGTGGCTCGGCTAGGGCTTGGTTTTGCTGAGCAGCTAGGGCATTGTTACCAGAGCGTTTCTTGAATGTTTGGTCGTCGATGATCTAAAGCTTGGCGGCTTTGGTCAGGGGACCATTGGTGACTTGAACATGCGCGTACTCCATGATATCCATGACGAAGAATGCATATGGCAGGATCCGATCGTGGGCGATAGTGTAGGATCGTTTTTCTGGAACTTCCCAGTGGGTCACCCATCTTGGGACTACTCCCGTTCCAGCATGCTTAACTACAGAGTTTTGAAGTAGTCGTCCGTGTTGTGTATCTATTTTTAAGTTGTCTATTTTTTTAATCCTATTTGTACGGTACAAAATAAAAATCCCAAAATGTCTTTTTTGAAAGACAAACCTTCAAAACCTAAAATATATTTAATTGATCAAAAAATTAAAAATATATATTTTTATTCGGTCTAATCGGTTCGGACTGGTTTAGTCCTAATTATTTCGGTCCGGTCCGGTCCAAATCAAAATAGATTTAGGTCTGGCCTTCGGTGTGGTTCGAGTCGATCCGATTCGGTCCGGTCTTGGACCGATGAACACCCCTCGATCTAGGATTCCAATAATCACATGTCTTCTTCCTCATTAAATCGCACGCTTGGACTCTCTTAAAATTGATGAAGTATTTTTTTAATAAAAAATATTTGGAGGATCCCAAACATTTGACACTATAGGAACACCAAGGCTAATACATATACACACAGACAATTATTCACCATAGTGTGCATTTAGTGTCAAATACTTGGAATCCCCCCGCACTCTTTTTAAATGAACTACTCCGTAGTCTGTAATAGATAATTTGTATTCCCTCCATCCAACAATAACGTTTTCGTTCACTATTCACAAGGTCAAACTTTATCTACTTTGTTGGTCTATTTTCTTGTCCTATTTGATAAAATAATATAGTCATGTCATCTCTAGTTTTGTAGATCTTTTCATTTAGTTGTTAAATATGTAATTTTTATTTTTTAATTCCTTATATTACTATTTTTCATATAAAATGATTTGAAAATAACTTCAGTTAAACATCACAACGCGCAACGAAAACTTTATTTATGGAGTACTTTCTAGCGTATAATTCTTCAAACTCAGATTCCATAAATATTAGAGTTTTGATTTGGGCAATTTACTCAAATAAGACTTAACCATATCATTTTTTCCTAAATAGGACCAGTCCCATCTGCTTTAACGTTTGGCAATGGAAAGTTCAAAAACGTCTTGTCTTTGAGAAAAATCACCTATTACATAATTTAAGTAATATAAGACATTATTAAAAAACAACTTGAATAGTCATTGAAATAACCACTCATTATCCAATACTTATTGCTAATGATCATATTCGTAGAGTTATTCGTATAATCAGTTCATTATTCAACACTTGTTACTAATGAAGGCATATATGGCAGATCATGTGAAATTATGTGTCATAAAGGGAATAAAACATACTTGATCTTATTAGGGAAACATACTACCTTTTATTCCTATATGGAGCAAATTTTTCTTTTGATTTCTCTAATTGAGATATCTGGATGGTTCAATCAAGACTCCTTATAGGATGATGAATAATATGATATTATTTGAATCCTTGTACTATTCTAAAACATTCTTATTAGGTCTTTATATTATTTTTAAAGTACTTATCAAGTCCTTAAATTATTTTAAGTGCTTGTCAGGTCCCTATACTTTTTAATTGATTCACAGATAATTACTTCGGTGATTTTTTCTGCCAAAACCCCATCATATCATCTATTTTTCTTTAATTTTTTTATTTCTTTTTTGCACTTCACTTATTAGATGCATTCGATTTTTTTAAAAGTACCCCTAGATCCTTATACATCTTGAGTCAAACTAAGTATATTTTCTATTTAGAAAAAATGGAAAAGAGATGAAATATTGTTCTTTAAAAACGTATGTATGTGGAGGCTTGGACAGAAAAACTGCGGGAATGATTATTGGTGCACCAGTAAAAAAAAGTATAAGGATCTAGAGAGCACGTACTTTTGAAAAAATATAGGGATCTAGTATGTTACGAGAGAAAGACATAGTAAAGAGAACCGAATTCTCGGTAGGGGTGGGGGAAAAAACCGAACTAGCATGGTAACATGCGGACCGTAATGGTTCCGAACTATTCATAGTATTTTTAAAAGGGATTAATTTTTTCCATCACGAACCCAAACCGAGCCGATATCAAACGGGATGAGACGATGATAGAAATATTTAAAACTAATTATCACAGAACGTATCGTTCAAAACTATATACGAAGTATCAGAAATAATTATTTGTGTAGTACTTTGTATAGTATTGTATTATTCATTTTTTAATATATATTTTTTCTTACTATTGTTGTTATTATATTTATTTAAACGTATCGGAATGGTACCGAATGGTTTTGGGATTTATCTCGTACTGATACCAAACCATTTAAATAACTGGTCCGTGATTGGTTCTGGTAGTATCACAGACCGTCACGGACTCCTCCCACTCCTATACAAATCGGAAAGTATAGGGACCTGACAAACACTTAAATTAATTCAAGGACCTGAGTAGTACTTTTGAAAAAATGTAGGGACCTAAGAAGATTTTTTCCCAAAGATATATAAATTAATTCTCGAACTTATAGTTGAAGTAATTTAGTCTGTATTCCATTTTTTTGTTCAATCAAGTGGCTTTCTTCACATTTTTTCATTATGTATCATCTCGAAGTCTTTGTGAAGGTCCAATTTTACACTAAATGGTAATCTCTGTCCCTGAGTATTTTTTCACTTTTGATTTTTTCGGTCAAAATTGTTTAATTTTAACCTCAAATTAAACAAAAATGATACTCCGAGGTATTAGATATTGATACAAAAATAGTTTTATTAGATTTATTATATTAAATATTTTCAAAATATTATTTTATCTAATTAATATAAAATATATATTTTATTTGATTATAGATCAAAGGTTAAAAATAGTTGACCGAAAAAATCAAAATTAGACAAATACTCAGGGAAGAAGCTAGTATAAAAATATTTTAAGTTCTTGGTATGCTAGCTAATGCATGCTTTTTTTTAAACGACCCTTTTTACCCAAGGGCAATATGCATTTGGTTGTTTATTTTCTTTTAATTTATAGAAAAATTTAGGGATAAAATTGTTTGTATTTTATTTAATGACTAAAATTTAATAAAAATATGAATTAGCATCTCAAAACAACATTTCTTCTTTGTCCTATAGTAAGATTAGACGTTATGATAAGGGTACAAGATAACATATACTCCCTTCGTCCTATAATGATCTTTCCAGAGTACTATTCCAACTTCACGGAAATTTATATTTATTTGTGTTTTTTCATAGCTAATATGATAAAATAAAATATTCTTGTCACCACTTGTTTTGTTGAACTTTTGATGTAGTTTTTAAATATGTATGTTTTATTTTTTATTTCTATACCAATATTTAAATAAAATAGATTGAAAAAACTTGAGATTTTTCTTCGTTTTGCGAACCGGGAAAATCATTATAGGACGGAGGGAGTAATAGAGAATTGGAAGAAAATGACTTGATTGAACAAAAAATAATACTCTTTCCGTTTTTTAAAACATTTTCTATTTTATTTTTTTTCTTTTTTCAAAACACGTCTACTTCCTATTAAAAAAATTAATTTTACATATACTTTTTCTTATCTTAGTTATCATATTATACTTTTACATTAATTATCTACCTATCACAGACGGAGTTATACAAACGACAACATTACTTCACACTTTTCAACAAAGATAGGCATAATTTCCTTTTGAAAATTGAAATGCGAGGAGCGGCCTTGGCACATGCAGCTCGCAGCATAAATTGGCAGGACTAGGCCCAGCTCGGCTCGTCCAAAGTTGTTAATTTAGCAGGTAGCTAAGTCTATTGGGAAAATTAACGAAAACTTGGATGAACCGAGAGTTGTGTAAACACTTTCAGATTGAATATTTTGGTTGTTCACTCCAAAATTCAATCGGATAAAATTCGAAGGTATCAAAACCGAAATATGAGAATTGTTATGAGAAATCCGAACGAAATTCGACCATGCCTGGCGGGAATTTATAGACTTGGGGTGAGAAGGAGAAGACACCATTCGCGGCTAATTACCCAAAGCATGCAATTCTTCGGTGAAACCCTTTTTGAAAGCAGCGCTATCCATATGAATTTTCCTTTTAAAGAAATTCGAAAATTAAAATTCCAATTGAATTTTTTAACATAGCACTTCGACCCCAGCCAGGGGCTCTGCCTCTTGGACCCCGCAGGGGCTGCCGCCCCTTGAACCCTGCTCGGGGGCGCTGCCCCCTTGGAACTCCCGATGTAACGGGTTTTTTATCGTAATAAATTCAATGAAGCGTGCACTTCGCACCACCAAACTTTTTTGATGATTATTAAGATACCATTGATTGTCATAGTTTTTCCAAATATACTAAAATATATAAGAAGTCCTTTATCAAACTTAGAGCTTAAAGCTAACCCCACCAAGTTGCCAAGTGTAAGATTAAAATATTGTATTATCATGACATCCACTATATTGCATGAATTGAACGAATTTTGGCACACTCCCATTTGCACAAGAAACTGCGAACGGCGGCCTACTTGGCTACTTGTAAGGAGGCCTAGTCTAATATTCCATCCTTCCCAAATTAAAATATATCTCACATTTGCTTTTTCAGCAGTTGTTGGAACTTTTATTTATTTTTACGTTTTCATTGGTTATTTGATAAAATAACATATTCTTGACACCTTTTATTTCGAATAACTTTTCATGTAGTTTTTTGATATATAAATTTTATTTTTTATTTCTATACCAATATGTAAATAAAATGAATTGAAAAAAGTTGATATTTTACTTCGGTAATAGAAGTGTGACAAATATTTAGGGACAGAGGGAGTAAGACATTATTGATGGCGTGAGCGAATATAATCTTTCCTCTAGCTGTAATGGTGGATTTTGAGTGCAAGTCTACTTGCTCCTTTCTTTTTCTTCTTGTCCCACAAAATTCTTTTTTTTTAATTCAAAATTCAATTTTATCCTTATTAATTTTTATCGTATCTATCACATCATACCCTTTTAATAATAATCTATCCATCACATCCTACTTTTAACTATCACATCAAAGATATTTTTGGAAAGTCAACACAAAAATATTTCTCCCTTAAATTCTCAAAATGTCAATAAGAAAAGAACTTTAAAGGACGGAGGGAGTATCTTCTAGGGTGGAGACGAGGGTAAGAGAATTCAGGGTCTGTGTTAGGAGAATAGGGATAATAACTTTAATTTTGTGAACGGGACATTGTAGTTGCATTGTCTTAAAAAAAGTGACACCATAATATCAACCGAAACAAATGTCAAGAGAACTAAAAGTAATTGGAAGAAACTCGAAGATATTATATAAAAAAGTTTAAATAAATCTTAGGAGTATACTTTTGAAATTTCATATTTTTATTTTTTTAATATTTTTGTATCTTTTTATGTCAATATTTTTGTTTCAAACCCTAGTTTACAATATTTTTGTGAATTCCACTCATTGTTATGGAGTTCTTTATCTCACACTTTTAATTTAATAATATAGGGAAAAAAACCACCCCAGCTTCCGCCTCTACCCTAGATCAGCGAATCAGCGACCTTTGAAGGCAGGGAGGTTAAGGAGAAATAGAAATTATGAATTTTATAAACAAAGCTTCGTAAGTACCTTATATGTCTTGGTCATTCTTGAGTCATTTTTGGCTTAGGTCAAGAAAACATTGTCCGCCAAAGAAATAATCTTAAATATGAGTAAAACATAGAGAAGGTACCAAAATAGAAGATTCGTATTTTTATCCCCTAGATAGAAGTTCACACTATGGTAATTTTGTACTGTACATGAACATTTCGCTATATTTTTTGGTAATATATATATATAATCATGATTCGCACTGTAAACATATTTTAACTCATATATCGAGAATATGTATATATAATCAATTTTATCAATGTTTTACTTCTACTTTAGTCTCTTTCACTACTCACAAACCTAATTCTATGGGAGGGGAGGTAGTACTTCTCTTTGTAACTTTTGATTTTGTTCCTATTTATACCACACATCAGCTAGCGACTGATTCCCTCAGAAGTCACCCTACTCAAAAACCTCATTTTATGTTCTCATTCCTAGCCTGTGCGTGAACAAAGAGAATATATAGGGTGTGCATGAGAGAATGGATGATCCGTTGAAGTGGGAGGCGGCGGCTGAGTCGCTGAAGGGGAGCCACCTGGAGGAGGTGAAGCGCATGGTGGCAGAGTACCGGAACCCGGTGGTGGAACTCCGCGGCAAGAAGCTCACGGTGGCTGAGGTGGCGGCCATCGCAGCGCGCGGTGATGACGTTAGAGTTGAGCTGTCGGAGGCGGCCCGGGCAGGCGTCGAGGCCAGCAATGATTGGGTCACGGACAGCCTGAAAACCGGGACCGACACCTATGGCATCACCACCGGCTTCGGCGCTCACTCTCACCGGAGAACTATGCAAGGCCATGCTCTTCAGCAGGAGCTCATTAGGTAAATTAATTATAGAAATATTTGCACTAAATAGCACTAAAACTTAAGTCATTTTCCTAAATAGCACTTAAATTGTTTTATTTCCTAAGTAGCACTTAATAATGTCTATAATGACCAGTGATGACGAATATTTACTTGAATAATGACTAATGTATAATGACTAAAAGTGCTATATTGGGAAGAAAAACACATGTAGTGCTATTTAGGGAAAGTTATTATGTTTTTGTGCTATTTGAGTAAATTTCTATACCCTTATTGAATTTAATACCACCAAATCGCACCACTATCTATGTACTTTTGAAAATAGGCACAAATGAACGAAGCAACTCAGCTCAGTTGGTTGTGGAGTTACCCTTCCAGAGGAGAGGTCTCGAGTTCGAGTCCCACTCTGCGCCAGTGGAACTATGCCTCCCCAAAAAACCCTTCAAGTGGTAGGGCCAAGCGGTGTATACTAACCCGTAGGGCCAAGCCAAAGTTGGGTTTCTGGGGTATGGGGCCGCGAAAGCGGTGGGGCTAGTCACTATAAAAAGTTTACCCTACTAATGTACCCGCACGGGTAGCCCAAGTGGCAAGCACTTGGTGAAGTTTGGAGAATGACCAAGGATCGAAACCTGGCAGCGACCGTTGTGGGGGCGACCACCTCTGAAAAATGGGGGGAGTCTCTGGTGCGCACTAGGATATGGTCTAGCTAAGTGTTGTTGCTTGGGTCACCGTGATTTACCTCCTCTCACATTCCCGTCGGGTCGGGGGTGAGGGGCGCCCGGGGTGAGCGATTTCACCTTTTTGGAGAATTGAAAATAGGCACAAATATTTTCTTAAGTTCCACTCATACACTTCTGATCATATCCGTCCATTTCTCCAGCGAAGGAGGTATTGATCCATATTTTCCGAACCATAGTGGGTGCTGCCGCACTAGTGCTCATTTCTTATTTTCATTTATTTTTTGTTTTTTCTCTTTTTTGTTTCTTTTATTAATCAAAGTTTTTTAATTTTTTTAAAAATTGTTTTTTTAATGTTCTTAAATTTAAAATTATTTTGATTGAAAACAAAATTAACACATACTGCATCTCTACGTCTCAAATTAACCATTTTTATTTTTTGTTTTCAAACATTAAAAATTAAAAACTTGTTTTGAAAACTTTAAAAAATGAGGAATAAAATAAGAAAAAAAAACGTACAAAAAATAAAAATGAATATCTTTGTTGGACATCCCAATTCTAAGAACATTTTTAGGCATTCTGAAAATTCTTCTTGTTTAAGACTCTTTTTTAGATGTTTAAATTTTTTGTTTTGTTTTTCCATTTTTTTTTCTTTTTGAACTTACCAAAAACATTATTCTAGAAAACAAAGAGTTAAAATGTTTAATTTGAGATAGATGAAGTATATGTTAGTGTTTTTTATTTTTATTTCAAATACAAAGAATTTTGAGTTTTTAAAAATATCATATAAAAAGTTCTAGGAAAGGAAAACAAAGAAATAAAAAAGTGTAAAAAAGGAAAGACAACAAATTAATAAACGAAAAAATAAGAAATGAGCACGTGTGCCCCATATGGTTTAGAAAATAGGCACCAATGCCCGCTCTTTGCTGGAAAATGATCGAATGAAGTGTGAGTGCAACGTTTGAAACCATGAGGACTTTAGAAATAAGTTTCGTAAAAAGTAGAGGTATTTATGGATCGGTGACAATTTTCCAAACCATAGGGGACGTTGTAACTATTTGACCAATTTAATACTTTTTTTTCTATTTAACGAAAAATGTTTATATTAGCTAATATGAAATAGGTGAACTATAATTTACTTGAAACTATATCATATTTATGCTTTCAAAAAAAATTCTTCTTTAATTTATTGTTTAAGCTCCAGAGCCGTGTTATTTATTACGGAGTACTTAGTTTTCTAGAACAATGAAGCTTTCATCTTTATACATAGCGATTACAAGAGAAATACTCCGTACTAATCAAGTTAGAATTATAATCATAGAACAATATAATAAAAATGTAAATAATAATAATAATATCTTATATTCTATTATTTCTAATATCACATCGCAAATTGATCTTAGCTGACGAGGGGCAACTTGGAGCATAGGTACTAGAATGGAGCCGACGAAAGTGGTTTTGTGAGGATAGCCAATAGAAGTAGAGAGAAATTTTCGTTACATGACGAACGAACTTGAACGTACGATTCTTGAGTTTTTTTTAAGGATATTGTTCACGATTGGAGTGAGGGTGATGAGTTTTTCTCTCCTTTTGGGTCATTCTCTCCTTTTCAATCGTTTCAATTCTCTCGATCTCTAGAAAAATTACAGACAAATGCAACTTTCCAATTCTTTGATCACGTACAAAATTTTCGTTGGTGGTTGTTAGGCACGCTCGACGAGATCGCTGTTCACTATTAAGCATACCCTATTTTTTTAGATGGAGAAACTCTAGTTCTAATACCATAATAAAATTTGATAGTAATTCATCTTATTGAATAATAAAATTATTTTTATATATATCGATTATAAGAGAGAATCATAATATAACAATTACGGCCCGGTTCTAGTGACACCGGAGAACGGTGTCACTGGGTTTTTGAGGCACCTCCACTGCTCCGTTCGTAAAATTGACGGTTCCTACCCTCCCTAACCCACCCCCTAAACCCCCCACCCTTCCCCTACCCCTGCACCCCCGCCCCAACCCCGCCGTAACCCCACAACAAAATGTGTGGCTATTATGCATTGCATAATAGCCACACATTTTGTGGTGGGAACGTTGCTCTAACAATTATAGAAGCAATTGAATAAGAGAATAAATAATAATTATATCTTATATCCTTTTATTCCTAGTAGTATTATTTAGCCTAGAAGCTAAGACTTTATATTAAATTTAATTATAATTGGATAAGAAAGGCGTCCCCACATCTAAATCCTGTAGATAGGGTTTAGAAATTAGTACTACATACTCTCTCCGTCCCTAAATAGATTACAATTTTTTTTCTCTTCTCGATAACTTTTGTTTGTTTACGCGATTTCATTAAATATTTGATAAATTAAAATATTCTTGTCACCTCTTGTTTTGTAGAACTTTTGACGTAGTATTTTAATACGGAGTATGTAATTTTTATATCTTATTAATATGCCAATTTGTAAACAAAATGATTTCAAAAAGTAGGAAATTTTACTCCGTAATTCGCAATTTGTAATCAAATTGGGGGCGGAGGGAGTATTTTATTTCATCTCTTGTGTTTCAATCTTATAATTTGAAATACTCCCTCCGTCCCCCAGTTTTTGTCCACTTTTGACTTTTGGAACTGTTCATCTAAGCACTTTGACTCATCAAATTCTCTCAATGTGTAAGCCTTAATATAGTCATGTGTGATCTTGTTTGATTTGTCTTAACATATACGGAGTAGATTATTAATATATAATTTCTATAAGTTTTTAATATACAAATTACAAGATAAAATGGATTAAAGAAGTACATTGGATGGTGTGCAAAAATGAAAGTTGACAAAAACGGGGGGACAGAAGGAGTATTGAATATCAAATGACAAGGCAGGTAAATGAATTTGTATTAGAGGATTTGTCTTAACATTCAAATGTTTAAGATTTCAAAAAAATGGAATTTGAGCCAAATACGGATCTAAAATTCAAATTAAAATTTTTAAACATGCCATTATAAAATTTGGAGAAGTTTGATTACTCTTTGTCCAGAATTAATTGTCTTACTGTCATTTTCAGTTATTCCAAGAAAAAATATCTAACTTTTTTACGTTTTAATAAGATAAAGAATATCTGGTCCATAGTTCCTTTTCCATTAAAACAAATTTCAATCAACAATTATTTTTTACTTTATAATTTTTTCTTAAACTGTGAAGTCAAATTGAGACAATAAATTGGGAATTATTCCACGTTTACATCCCCATCACCATCCCCGCAGTGTAACTTAGGTGGAAAAAATGGCAGGTATTTGAATGCTGGAATATTCGGCGGCGGTGCCAATGGAGTTGCGGGAGGTCATACGCTGCCCCACTGGGCAACTCGAGCATCCATGGCTGTGAGGATCAACACCCTCCTCCAGGGGTACTCAGGCATCAGATTTGAGATTCTCGAAACAATCACCAAATTGCTCAACCACAACATCACTCCCTGCCTCCCTCTCCGCGGCACCATCACCGCCTCGGGCGATCTTGTCCCATTGTCCTACATTGCTGGTCTGCTCACTGGGAGGCCTAACGCCAAGGCCGTGGGACCCAAAGGGGAGACCCTGAATGCCGAGGAGGCCTTTCGCCTGGCGGGAATCTCCGGCGGGTTCTTCAAGCTCCAACCCAAAGAAGGGCTGGCGCTCGTGAACGGAACTGCAGTTGGTTCTGGTTTGGCATCCATGGTTCTCTTCGAGGCCAATGTGCTTGCCCTTATGTCTGAGGTTTTGTCTGCCATTTTCGGGGAAGTGATGCATGGGAAGCAAGAGTTTAGTGACCATTTGATTCACAAACTGAAGCATCACCCGGGCCAAATTGAAGCCGCGGCGATCATGGAGCACATTTTGGATGGTAGCCCTTACATGAAAGCTGCTCAGAAGCTGAACAAAACCGACCCGTTGCAGAAACCGAAACAGGATCGGTACGCTCTGAGGACATCGCCCCAGTGGCTTGGCCCACAGATTGAAGTCATAAGGGCGGCAACCAAGATGATTGAGAGGGAGATCAACTCTGTCAATGACAATCCTCTGATTGACGTGTCCAGGAACAAGGCCTTGCACGGTGGGAACTTCCAAGGCACGCCGATCGGCGTTTCAATGGACAATACGAGGTTAGCCCTGGCCAACATTGGAAAGCTACTGTTCGCCCAGTTCACCGAGCTAGTCAACAATTACTACAACAACGGGTTGCCATCTAACCTCACAGCAGCTAGGAATCCAAGTCTTGATTACGGCTTCAATGGTGCAGAGGTTGCAATGGCTTCATACTGTTCTGAGCTTCAGTTCATGGCTAACCCGGTCACAAACCACGTCCAGAGCGCAGAGCACCACAACCAGAGTCTTAACTCTTTGGGTTTGATCTCAGCAAGAAAGACGGCCGAAGCCATGGACGTGCTCAAACTCATGTTCTCTACATATCTCGTCGCGATCTGCCAGGCGATTGATTTGAGGCACTTGGAGGAGAACTTGAGGAACGGTGTGAAGAACACAGTTAGGCAAGTGGCAATGAGGACTCTCCATCATTCCAGACCCTGTGAGGAGGAATTGCTCAGGGTGGTCGATCGTGTGTACGTGTTTGCATACGCCGATGACCCGTGCAGTGCGAACTACCCATTGATGCCGAAACTGAGGCATGCTCTCATGGACCATGCCTTGCAGAACAGAGAAGTGGACAAAAACTTGCACACATCTATCCTCCAGGAGATTGCAGCATTCGAAGATGAGTTGAAGGAAGTTTTGTCCAAGAAAGTAGAGGGTGCCAGAGCGGCTCTTGAGAGTGGCAACCCAGCCATTCCTAACAAGATTAAGGAGTGCCGGTCCTATCCTCTTTACAAGTTCGTCCGTGAAGAGCTTGGAACCGAGGTGCTGACTGGGGAGAAGGTGAAGTCCCCTGGGGAGGTGTGTGACAAGGTGTTTGCCGCTATGTGTGATGGAAGGATCATTGATCCTTTGTTGGAATGCCTCAAGAACTGGGATGGCTCTCCTCTTCCCATCTCTTAATTGTGTTTGTTTTCCATTTTAATTATCTTCTTCTAGTAAGCTTTATGTGGTCTAAATAAGTTAATCAACACCATACCTTTTTATCCCCACCCAATTCAATCAGACACAACCATGTGCTATGTACTTGTTCAAATCTATCTTATAACTAGTTCTTGTTGCATCTATTGTACTTGCCTTTCTTATCAGTATAGCATAAATGATTAGCCATCTTTACTTCATTTTCCATTTTGTTGATCAATGATTTCTTTACTTACTATGGTACAAATCTCATATTCTTGCAAAAAAAATGTACCGAAACCATTTTTAAAAAAATTACTGAAAACATTTTTGGCAAACCTTTGAAAACGTAACATCACATTAACACGCTTTTCAATCCATTGAAAATCATTTACCACCTTCTAGAAAAAGGCACTAAGAGTTTTATTTCAAAGAAAGAATTATTTGGTTTGGACCATCAAAACCAGAAAACGAGCTACTTTAAACAGGCAAACACAACAGTATGTCTGACGATGGCTCAGAAACATTCTGAAGAACCAACTCTTATTTCAATTTTTAGTTCTCAAAGAAAAATCATGTTTTTCATACAAGTACAAAATCACTTGTAAGAAAATAGTTTTCTTAAACTAATGAGAGTAATTAGAAGCCAAAGGACAATATTTTCAATGATTTTAAACCAAACTATTCAAAAGCTGGTTACATTTTGTAAGGGATTGTATATTCATAGTAATATGTTCAAGATTCCAAGAGAAACAAATTCTCACACATAGAAAAATATCAAGAGAAACTCCAAAGTTACTATACCCCAACAAATCACATTTAAAATGTGTCATTAAGTTATCCTTAAATTAAGGTAAATGAATCTAGTTAACCTAGACTCTTAAACATAAGACCAAGACTATGACTATATTCAAGTAAGTAAGAACAAATTATTCATATATGCACACATAAAGGGTCATTTTAGGTCATATATTAGTCCTTGAACAATTCTTCAAGTAAACATATCGCTGAATTTACTTAAATAGCACTAAAACATAATGACTTTCTCTAAATAACATCACATGTGTTTTTCTTCCCAATGTAACACTTTTAGTCATTATGCATTAGTCATTATTCAAGTAAATATTCATCATTACTGGACATTATAGACATTATTAAATGCTATTTAGGAAATAAAACAATTTAAGTATTATTTAAGAAAATGATTTAAGTTTTAGTGCTATTTAGAGCAAATATTTCAAACATATTTCATCCTCCATTTTTCCATCTTTCGAATCTCAAAGAAAAACATATTGTATGATAAATCCAAAGTACTTTAACAGTTATATGGTCAGATACTCGCCATAAGAGCAGTGGAAATACTTGTAACGCCAAAGGGCGTTAGCCTAGTTTTGATGCCTGGGGGGGCGTGAAACACCGCCCCCTCCCCCGTTATAAGGGCGTTAAAACTCCTGCGTTAAATCTTTGACGTGAGAAGGCTTTCTTCCTTCTTTTTTTCCCTCTTTTTTCCCCTTTTCTTCTCTATAAATTAAATATAATTTTTTTAAAAAATTCAACACAAATACAAGTTTCTCTCTATCTATCAATTTAAAAAAAAATTATTATTCAAGTATTTTCTTTATTTTTTCATGAATGTAATTTTTTTTATTTAATGAATGTAATGTTTTTATTTAATTAATGTAGTTTTTTTTATAATGAATGCAATTTTTTTATTTAATGAATGTAATTTTTTATATTTAAAATCATGGAAACTGACCTTTCTACGTTGTCGGGTTTCAAACGGATGATATACGAGCAAAGACAAAGAGAGATCAAGGCGAAATATAATTTACCTTAGTTTTTTTAATTAATATATCTTTTTTAATATTGTCGTTTTTTATTTTAATGAATGTATTTTTTTTGTATTCGTGTTTCAATATTATTAAATAATAAATTAATTTAAATTTAGAAGATGTATATTTAAAAATGTAAAAAATAAAGGTTTGAAGCCCCAGTTTGAAGCCCTGGGGCTTCAAACCCATTTCCAGTGAATTTTTAGTGTAAGTTAAAGCTGACGTGGCAGAGAGAGAAATTTTGAAGCCTCGGGGCTTCAAAGGTATTACCAGTGCTCTAAGAAACAATCTCAACTTTTTAATAGTCAATACACATTTGAGCACAAATGCCTATAGCAGATTTTCCAACATGGGCATACTTTACATCTCAACCCAGAAGACCCACTGAAAACATGCCAATTCATACAAATTTCATGCCTATAACCCTACACACTATTGAACTCCAACCAATTTTCCTTGCATTTAAATTACCAAAAACTACACCCAACTCATTTCTATCAAGTTTTTTCTGCCCATAAGAGCCTAGAAGTTTTGGTGTTTAGAGAAAAATCATTATAAATCTTAAACTTCTTGGTTGACCAAATTTTCAGCCTCATAATAACAAACATATATGAACAGATAGTAACTTCAAAACTCCGAACTTTTCAAATTTATAAACGTGTATATCTAGTAACCTTTCAATTTTTATCACAAATCAAGCTGCCAGTTTTAATTTTTAGAAATATCATCCGCGAGCTCTTTAATTTAGTCCCAATTCTTTCATATCATTTAAACATGATCAATGCTTATACAAAATATCCAATCATATATCATTTTCCATCACACCCAACAAGAATTTTATGTTATGGACCCATTATTTGAGAAATTTTACACTCTCCGAGTCTTCGTTTCAAGAAAGAGTTTTATTTGTTATGCATTGAATAAAAACTTTTAATCTCCCTAAAATATTTAAAAAAAATCTCAAAACTATTTCTTTATTTCAAGAAGAAGTTATTTTAAAGATATTTTAAACACTTAAGATGGGTTAGAAATTTTTTGTGTGATGCACAAACATGAAGATGGAACGGACTTAAAAGATTATATATTATCGCACGCTCCGTACTAAAGTGTACTTTGGCAAATACTCTGTATTAGGGAGCACAATTTTAAAGAAACGAGGGAAAATTTTTTGAAAGAGTAAAACAAGGAAAAAGAATTAAAATAGGATTCTTATCTTTTATTGTCAAAATAGAACTTAAATTTATTTAAATTTATAGAAATCACCCTAAATATGACTAAAACATAGAGAAAAGTACCAAAATAGGACTTTCATGTTTTTTTTCTTGAAATAGGACTTTGCACTTTGATAATGTGACTTTGCAGTGTGATAATGTGATAGTGTACATGTGCACATTACTCTACTTTTTTGGTAATGTATATGACCATGTTTGGTAATGTACGTCGTATTTAGGAAATAAAAACATGGAAGTCCTATTTTTGTATATTTTCAATGTTTTAGTCCTACTTTGGTCTTTCTTTCTATAATATACAAACAAATGTGAAGAAATTTGATAGACTAAATGAATCGCGTGAACGCTTTTAGATGAAAGTTATATTTCATGATATACCCAGATACTTCAACCGGATAAGACTTTAGTATCTAGAACGAATGTGGAAGGTATGTCGTACCTAAACATATCCTAGGACTCCATATTTATAGAGCACAACTTGATCGGAAGTGTTAGTTACGAAACAATACAACTTTACGCAGCACACTCGAATGTTTGGCCACAATATTTGAATGTATGCAGCAGTTGTGTTAAACATATCATTTTAGTGGTTTTTGTGCGAAACGTCATGCCTTATTGGGAAACATTGAGATGCATTGGGTCTTTTAGTAAGGAACGTTGTAGATAAATATTATATTTGAATATTTGTAAAGCAACAATGTATATTATTTTGAATTTCGTTTACAAAAATGGTCATAAGATTTTCATTCCCAGCTAGGGGCTCTGCTCCTTGAACCTCACCAAGGGCTACTTTCCCTTGGACCCCTGCGAAATTTGTAATATCGTTGAACGAGCATGCACAGCACATCATCTAACTCGTTAACAACGCTTACCAAAATTTTCATCCAATCTAAATAAATCCAATTACACAAAATAGCTGATGAGTGGTGACTCTAAAATCACCAACAAAGTTCATGTTAGCTAGCGTTGCCCAGTAAAAAAACAACTAGACTTGCAATATTTAACAACACTATCCAGGAATAATCCAAATTTAATGATGCTTAGAAACATTCTCAACTATACTCTTTAAAGAAGTATAGGTGCCAATCACAACTAGCAATATGCTTAATAAAGCAAGCAGCACAATCACAACTCCTTCGATAGACTTTCGATCAATTTTTGAGATCTTCAAATAGCACACACAAGGAATCGTGATAGAAGCTGTTGCACTACATAGGGCTCCCACAAGGGACATGAGGGAACCGAAAAAAGGGATCGAAAGACCCACGACAACCTGTGAGATAACCAAAAGGGTACTCAATGAGATCTTGACTAATCTCTCCTTTTGGTATTTAAGGGGAAGCCAACTCTCAATTGTGGATACCACGGGTTTCATGAACAAGGCATATTTGGTTAAAGGAGTTAACCATGCTATATAGATTGCTACTTTTGAGCTCAGCCTTTCTTTTGGAAGGTTCAAAGTGATTTGAGAGTTCAACATTGAACCGTACATCATATACCCTACGATTCCCATTGCTGCATAGCAAAATGTTGCAATCCCAAAGGTCACAACCAGCACCTGAAAATAATCCCAAACAAACAATTAGAAAATTATTACTAATTTCATTGACCAATATCTGTTTTATTTTCTTTTTAATAAAAAATGCTGGCCCGCCATTTCAAAAAAAACTCTCCGTAGTACTTAAGGAATGTGTAATTCTGATATGACTTTCAACTTTGCCATTTACTTTATTGTATGGTAATATAAGATATGAGAGGTATATAGGAAGATTAAGAATTAGTAAGACTCAAAGAGAGATTTTAATTCAAAGTAGAAGTGTTAAAGTAACATATACAATAGAGTTAAAAAGTATGGAAAATCTCGCAAGCAAACGATATATACCTTGAAAAAGTGGTGCTTGCTTCGCATGGAATTGTACAAGGAGGGGAAAACAGGATTAGCACTAAAGCAGAACATGAATAAGCTGAGAGCCATTGGAAACCCTCTCCAACTTACAACTTCACCTTTATGGTGAAAGCCCACGTCGTCAAACACCGCAACACAGAACACACAAATAAGCAATGCCAAAGACGATAAGACCCCAAGAGTAGAGATGTATGCGAGAAGGCGTAAATCTTCGATCCAAACAGTGGGAAGGAGAACGAGAGCGATGATTATGACAAAACATGTCTTTCCACTTATTGACAAGCCAAACAACACAATCTTCATGTTAGGGAAGAGGCTGTATAGGTTATCCCCTTCCAAGATGAGAAAATCTGTTAAAACCAGATAAAGATCCACACAGAGAATGGCTGAGATTATTGATTCCCCTACATTCCCATAAGCCTGTTTTCCAAGATCTGGAAAACTTTTAACTCTGGGGTTTATTTGCATGCAACGTTGAGTGAGCAAGCCGGCATAGCATGCTCCCATAGATATGATGAGGAAAAACAATAAACTTAACCAGCCTCCACGAGCAATAGCATAAGGGATTGACAACATTCCAATTCCTGTTCCAATTCATATAAAAATAGTTTATAAATATGATAAAATTGGTACTATATAAAAACAAAACAATTAAGTGAGAAATTTAGAAGAGATAAAATGATACCTAAAATGGAATTGAGGGCATTGAACAGAGTTTTGATGAAGGAGGTGTTGCCCATTTGCTGCTCCATTATGTCAACCTAATGCTGCACCATCGAAAATATACTGAGTGATGAATAATTACTGAGTTCATATTAATTTGCCATTTGAAAAAAAAAAAAGAAAAGAAGAAGAAGCAATCAAATTAAATTATGAGGTGTGATTTGGTAAAAGGTGCGAGGGAATAGACGTGTTGGGGGGATGAAACTATAAAAAAAAACAAGGAAGAAGAAGACGTACGGACGGGATTATTGAAGGATTTGCAGTCCAATGTTTATTGAAATAGAATAGATCTGGCTGCGCAAACCAGAATTGAAGGACTCCCGGCTATCCGAAGAAATTGGAAAATATGGAAATTCCGAGAAGGATTGGGAGACGCCTGAGTCTGTTAGGTTGCTGCTGCTGCTGATGCTTCTTTTTGTGTATAAATATATTTATATACTTTCTCGGTGTCCCTAGTAATCCTAGTATTTGTCTGATCCCAAATTGAATAAAAATAAAATTAGTTATTGATACCAAGCTAATTTTATTATATTAATTTTATAAAAAATTTCAAAATATTATTTTGAGCAATAAATTTATAATATATATTTTATTTAATTATATGTCAATAAAGGCTGGAAAAAATTAACTGCAAGAGGTCTAAATTCCTTGAATATTCAGATGTTCGTATGTGTATATATACGGGTTTAGACAATTTACAGTGGGTCTGTTTGGGAATAGCTTTAGAGATTAGCGTTAGTTCTTTGAAAAGGATATCTACGACCAGCGTTTAGTGTTAGCGTTTTTAAAGTAATCTACAGCATTAAATATTTTTTCCAAAACACTAACGCTAATCTCTAACGCTATTTTCAAATAAATACATTCGGGAGCGGAATTTCAACGAGACGCTGTTTGTCAGCCCACAAGCTTTGAATGCCCAACTTGTTCTCCTTCTATTAAGGCTACAGAGCATCATCCAACATATAATACCCACTTTTGGAACCAAATTCCTCAGGAGCCCAAAATCCAAAAACTCTGGAGCCCACAAGTCTATTCAATTCCCACTCCAGAGTCAACTCCCACCTTATTCATTCAACCAACGACCACCCACCTTATTCAACTCCCGCCCCAACCCTCATTCAAATTAATGCATTCAACCCCTTTTTAACCACACACACAAGAAAGGAGTATTTTTTTTCTTAAAATAACAATTGTGAAGTTGAAGATTGGTTTGGTATTTTGTTCAACACCAACTTTCTCGCATTTTATTTATTTCAAGAAATATATTTAATTTTTTTGTTATATACGGAGTACTGTAATTCAACTACAAAGTTATGGTGACTTTAATTTAGCATTTTTTAATCATCTCATTCTTAAAAGCAAGGAAATTATGCTCCATGCTTTTTTCCGCCCAATGACTATCATCTATGGACCATCAATTTTAATCTATTACATTTAATCTACGGTCCATGTGTATTACTCGAGATAAAAAATGGAAATACCGTGTGTATTTAATACGTTTTTATTTAATTACCAAAATTAATACAGTGTGTATTTACAACATTAATACCATGTGTATTCCCGATTATTACCAAAATTAATGTCGTGTGTATTTTAATTTATTAGGGAAATACTGTGTGCATTGTGTATCCATTGGTATTAATTACCAAAAATATTACCGTGTGTATTTAAAACCCAAAATTAATATCGTGCATTCTTTACTCGAAAAAGGAAAGCATTCTGTAAATACATATTTAGGTTTTAAAGTATTAAAAAAACGAAATTTACTTTATATGGTTCCCACCCAAACTCATACCTTTCTGAGCCGTTGATCTTTGATGATCTGATCATCTACGGTTCGTATAAAATATTTTATTAATGAAGACCTACAGCAATCTAAAAAGGTAAGAATTTCATGTTATATTATTACTTTGTTACCATTAAAGGAGGAGATATTACGGCAGTCTAAAAAAGGTAACAATTTTCTACTACCCCGAGTATATTTTTACCTTGATACCACTAAAGGAGGAAATAAAAAACAAAATGGCAAGAATTAAATAGGAAATCAAAAACAATTTTTTCAAACGGAAATGATAAAACATAATTATATTAATGATAATGTGTTTAAAATTATGTAACATGACTCGATAAAAAATCTAATATATTACATTTAAAAATTTGCATGTATACATTATGTTGGGAAAAATATTATAGATTTTGATGATGATGTATTTAGATTGTAATAGGAACTTTAGGTCACCCCCAATATTCAATGTAATTTTTCTTTTTAGGAATTTTGTTAAAATCGAGTTCTTAAGATTTTCAATAAAGTTGTGATATTTCATTCTGTGGTTTGATTTCAATATTTGAAAACTTAATCAAATTCAGTGATATGGAAAATTGGAATTCTTGATCGGAAATGTTAGAGACAAGTAAGAAATTCTCAAAGCAGTTGATTACTTTGAAGATTCTCAAATTCGGAATACTCCATGATAACCGGATGTCTCGCTACAACCCGCTGAATGCTAAGTCATCCGGATCGGAAGATTTTCTATCATTTTTGAATGATAGAAAATGTTATTGATAGAATTTAGGATGATATAGTCTTGTCACCTCTTTATTTGTAGAACTTTTCATGTAGTTTATTACTATATAAATTTTATTTTAGAATTTTACTCCTATAATCAATTAAATTGAATTGAAAATAAAGTCGGTCAAGCCTCGTAACGCGTAATGGGAAGATCATACATGAACGGAGGGAGTATTTAATACTCCATCCGTCCACAAATAAACTTTATACTTTCTTTTTTCATCCGTCTACAAAAAAATTTTACATTTTCTTTTTTAGTAAATTTTATAAGGTAAAAAGACTCAAATACCCTCCCACCCACTTCTTTTCTTCCCCTGCTGGATCCGTCCCACTTTCCTTTCCTTCTCCTTTTCTTCTTCTTTTTTTCTTCTCCCTCTCTTTCTTTCTTTTCTTCTTTTCTCCCTTCCGATTTATTTCTGCCACCCCTCTCTTTTTTTTCTTTCTTCTTTCTTCTTCTCTGTTTTTTCTTCCTCTCCCTTCTGTTTTTGTCCAACCAATCACTCCATCTTCTCTTTCTTCTTCCTTCTTTCTCTACTTTTTCTTCCGATTTCTTTGTCTTTCTTCTCCAATCTTTTTCTCTTCTTCCTTCTTTTTTCTTATTCCTTCTCCCCCACTACTAGATCCGACTAGATCTAGATCTGCAAGTGACGATTTTTATTTCTCAGATCCGCGATGGGCAAGTCCGAAATATAGATCTCTTCGTTAGGATGGGAGGAGGTTGCAGGTCTGCGATGGTGGCGGTGGGAGGGGGGCTGCGATGGTAGGAGGTTGTGGAGCGGGAGGGGCAATGACATGAACGTCGGCAGTGGCGCTGGAGGGTGGTCGGCGGTGACAAGAACGTCGGCAGTGGCGCGAGATAGTGGTCGGCGGTGACAAGAATGTCGGCAGTGGCGCTGGAGAGTTGTAGGCGGTGAAGTGCCGTTGGGTTGGCAACACCCGTAGATGGTTCATGAGGGTGGAGAGGGAAAATAGGGTTAAGGGGTATAATGGGAAAGTCAACACAATTTTCATCACACATAAATTTGCGTGCCCGGTCAAACAGTAAAGTTTAATATTGGACGGAGGGGTAGAATTAGGGGTGAGTAGGGGTGGACACGGTACCGGTACAGTACCGGTACCGGAAACGGTACCGCCGGTTCCGGTACCGTTACCGTCGGCCGGTACGGTCCACCGGTTCCGGGAACCGGTACCGGTACCGCCCAATCCGGTACCGGTTCCGGTGCCCATTTTTCGGTACCGGCACCGGCGGTTCCGGTTCCGGTTCCGGTACCGTTACCGTTTTTTTTTATTTTTATTTTTTTATTTCATTCTTTCCTTTATCAATTTCATTTTTAGATTTTTTTATTTCATCATTTCCTTTAACAATTACACATTTACAATTTTACATTTTAAAAATATAATAAAAAAGCAAAAAAAAAAACAAAATTAGGGGTGGCCGAAACGGTACCGGTACCAAGGGGTGGCGGTACCGGAACCGGCGGTTCCGGAACCGGAACCGTCCCGGAACCGTACCGTGTCCACCCCTAGGGGTGAGCAAGGACCGTACCGATCCCGATATTTCCCGAAAGAACCGAGAATACCGAACCGATAAAGGCCGGTCCCGATGATTCATCAGCCTGGGCCGAAACAGAAAAAAGGCCCTAAAAGTCTTATCCTTAATGGTCTAAAAAATTCACATATGTAAACTAATTATATTTAAATTATAATTAACGCAATATTATTAGAAGAAAAAAAATAAATGACAAAATTATAGTATTATAATTACATACCGTAAAAGCTAGCCGAGGATTCAAGTTCTCCTTGCATTCTTGAAAGCAAATTGGTTGATCACATCTTCACAGTCTATGCTCTCTAAGATTTCATTCTCGATAGCTATTACCGCCAATCCACTAAGTCTTTTACTTCTACCTCTTCGTCATCAGCAACAAGTTTCATAAACTTAAATAGAACTCCGGCTTGAGACTTTCTCATTTCTTCATCTCGTTTTCTCTTTTTTCTTTTTTGACTACCGGATAATTGTTTAGGAGGCATAGCTATTGAATTATTTCTGAAATAAAATCCAAAATCATAAATTCTACTAAGAAAAATCAAGAATAAAAAACTGAAAAAAGCAAGCAAATAAATAAATAAATATATCATAAATTAAAATCAATTTGTCAATTTTTCTTTTTTTAATTGTTTTTTTCTTTTTCAGTTTTAATTTTTTTATAAATCATAAATTCATATCAATTCATCAATTAATCCGTTTTTAATTTTTTTTCAGTTTTCAATTTTTTTTAATATAAATATATAATTATCATAAATAAAAAATTCAAATCAATTCATCCAAATCAAATAAATAACATATAGAACCATTCATTCATTCTATTTCAAAGAATGAAATTAGAAAAGATTTCAAATTAAAAACTAATAATTAACCCTATATTTTAAATCTAAAAAATGAAACAATGAAAATATGAAAGAAAATTAAGATTTAAGAAATAAAAATTACAAAATTGGAAAGGGAAGACAACGAAGACTATGAATAATTACCTAGAGTGTGGAGGCGTGCGCGGTGCAGGACGGCGAATCGGCGTCCGGCGGTGGAGGCGAGCAGCGTGCAGGTCGGCGACTTGAAGTTTCTGGAATCTGGTTTCTTCAATGAGTTTGATCGGCACTTCGTCTTGCGCGTCTCTTCAGTTTCGTTTTTTTAGTCTACACACTACTGCACTGGGCTAAGTTAAGGGATGGGTCATGGGCCTGGGCTTATATATATATATATATATATATATATATATATATATATATATATATATATATATATATATATATATATATATATATATATATATATATATATATATATATATATATATATATATATATATATATATATATATATATATATATATATTGATGGTTATAAACCACCGAGAATGAAGAACAGTATAAGTTTTAGAGAGAGAGAGAATGCAAAGTAGGAGTTTATTCGTTCTAAACTTGGATCCATTACGATGAGGGGTCTCTCCCCTTTTATAGGGGATACAATACACATAGTCAAAGTTTCTCTGATCGAGGTTCGTCGCCTAGCGGACGTCATCTCTGTTATGCGTTGTCTCTTTCATCCCATCGCTGTCGCGCAGTCAACGTGGTCGGTCGATATCCGGCGGTCGCTATCACGGTCTCCAGCCGAGCTCACGGGCCGAGCCGAGCTCATGGGCCGAGCAGAGAAAATCTTCCACGTGGCTGATGGGGCCCGGCTGACGTGTCTTTTGGGGTCGTCCTCCATCATAAGCCCCCCACTCTCTGGGTTTCGTTGCAATCAGCGATGGAACACGAGAGAGTATGGGTACTGTAGAAGAACGGCGCGGGGTCCCACGTGGAGGGGGATAGCAGGCCATTGGTGCCGTTTGGGCTTCGCAATCATGAAGGGGCGCGCCGTTTCGCCTCCCTAGGCCAAGTGGCGGCCCATCATTGCACCCATTCAAAACCTTGCTCTATAAATACCCACCCTACTCATCTCATTCTTCACCTTTTAGAGAGAGAAAGTAGGACCCTTCACCGTCGTTCGCGTCCATCTTCCGGCTCCATTCTAGGTTAGTCCTCGTCCCTTCTCTTCCATGTCTTCCCAATCTTCGGTCTTTCGTCAGTCCGAGTCCGAGCGCGGTGCTGAGGGCTCCGTCGCAGGCTCCGTGCAGGAGAGTGACTCCCGCTCGCCCTCCGTCGAGGAGATAGTCGAAGCGGTCGAGATCCCTCTCCAGTCTGAGCCTCGCAATCAGAGGAAGACCGTTCTCGAGGACTCGGGGATCCGAGCGCGAAAGTGCACCCTTACTCGGGAGGAGTTCCGCAAAGCGAAGCGCCTAGCTTCGGCGCCGGGTGTAACCGTGCAACGTCCTACTACCGAACAGTCGGTCTTTGACGCCCCACCGGGTTCCTTCGCCATCCACCTCAAGTCCCTCGAGTATGGGTTTCGCTTCCCCCTCCACCAGATAGTTATAGATTTCTTCCTCCACTTTGATTTCCTCCCTTGCCAAGTCGTGCCCAAATCCCACCGCTACTTGGCGGGATTTCTCATTCGTTGCCAAGGGACCGGGGTTCGTCCCGATCTGGCCCGTTTCTTGCTTCTCTTCCGGTTGGCGAAGTCGTCCGGTCGGGCGAACTCCGACTCGGGCTCGTACGCCTCCATATTCCAAAGACAGGAGAAGCTCTTCAAGACGAGAAAAGACTCCGCCAAGAGTTGGAAGGGGAAATTCGTCTTCGTTTCTCTGTCCTCGGGCTCCCCCTTTCGTAAGGAACCCCTCAGCTCCTTCCGACGCCGTTCCGCCTTCATCAACTCGGTCAAGATGCTCGAGGATGTAGAGACGCTCTGCCGAGGGGGGCCCTTCGAGGTCGGATCGATAGTGACGAACGACGCGTTACCGGCGCTCGGATTCGTCTTCCTATCCCTGGAAGAAACTCAGCGGAGCATCGAAGAAGGCCCCTCAGGTCAGTGCAATCTCTCCTCCTCGGCCGTCCGTGGGTCACGACTACCTCGGATTCTCCCACCTCGCTCTTTCGCGGCTTAAGTCCTCGCATCGTCATTTATTTTTTTTGTTGTGCAGGTGAAATCATGCTTTCCAGCGCCGAGCGGATGAAGCTCATGTTCCCAGATGCCACAAGCGGCAGCTCCCGGGCTCCTATCGTGGCCGGTCGTCCTCCGACTCCGCCGGTGAAGCCGATCCCCGAGCCGGCCCAGAAGAAGAAGAGGAAGGATACGGCCTCGGCCACTGACACTCCCACGGGGTCCGAGTCCCCCCTGATGAAGGATTTCGGCCACCAGAGGCATGTCAAGGCAGCCTTCCCCGCAGGGGTCTCCTTCCTTGACCGGGACTACGATCCGGAGACTTTTCTGCGTAGCATGACCCCCCCGACCGACCGCGCCAAGATCAAGGACGCCGACCGGGAAGCTCTTGCCTTGGACATGTTTCACGAGATGGGCTCGGTAAATTTCTCCATTCATACTTTGTAAACACATTTTCTGCGGCGCTCACCCCTTGTATACCTGCAGGCGATGATGCGCATGGTCGACATGACCCAGCGACTGCGCATCAATGAGGCTGACCGGAGNAGAGAGAGAGAATGCAAAGTAGGAGTTTATTCGTTCTAAACTTGGATCCATTACAATGAGGGGTCTCTCCCCTTTTATAGGGGATACAATACACATAGTCAAAGTTTCTCTGATCGAGGTTCGTCGCCTAGCGGACGTCATCTCTGTTATGCGTTGTCTCTTTCATCCCATCGCTGTCGCGCAGTCAACGTGGCCGGTCGCTATCCGGCGGTCGCTATCACGGTCTCTAGCCGAGCTCACGGGCCGAGCCGAGCTCATGGGCCGAGCAGAGAAAATCTTCCACGTGGCTGATGGGGCCCGGTTGACATGTCTTTTGGGGTCGTCCTCCATCATAAGCCCCCCACTCTCCGGGTTTCGTTGCAATCAGCGATGGAACACGAGAGAGTATGGGTACTGTAGGAGAACGGCGCGGGGTCCCACGTGGAGGGGGATAGCAGGCCATTGGTGCTGTTTGGGCTTCGCAATCATGAAGGGGTGCGCCGTTTCGCCTCCCTAGGCCAAGTGGCGGCCCATCATTGCACCCATTCAAAACCTTGCTCTATAAATACCCACCCTACTCATCTCATTCTTCACCTTTTAGAGAGATAAAGTAGGACCCTTCATCGTCGTTCGCGTCCATCTTCCGGCTCCATTCTAGGTTAGTCTTCGTCCCTTCTCTTCCATGTCTTCCCAATCTTCGGTCTTTCGTCAGTCCGAGTCCGAGCGCGGTGCTGAAAGCTCCGTCGCAGGCTCCGTGCAAGAGAGTGACTCCCGCTCGCCCTCCGTCGAGGAGATAGTCGAAGCGGTCGAGATCCCTCTCCAGTCTGAGCCTCGCAATCAGAGGCGGACCGTTCTCGAGGACTTGGGGATCCGAGCGCGAAAGTGCACCCTTACTCGGGAGGAGTTCCGCAAAGCGAAGCGCCTAGCCTCGGCGCCGGGTGTAACCGTGCAACGTCCTACTACCGAACAGTCGGTCTTTGACGCCCCACCGGGTTCCTTCGCCATCCACCTCAAGTCCCTCGAGTATGGGTTTCGCTTCCCCCTCCACCAGCTAGTTATAGATTTCTTCCTCCACTTTGATTTCCTCCCTTGCCAAGTCGTGCCCAAATCCCACCGCTACTTGGCGGGATTTCTCATTCGTTGCCAAGGGACCGGGGTTCGCCTCGATCTGGCCCGTTTTTTGCTTCTCTTCCGGTTGGCGAAGTCGTCCGATCAGGCGAACTCCGACTCGGGCTCGTACGCCTCCATATTCCAAAGACAGGAGAAGCTCTTCAAAACGAGAAAAGACTCCGCCAAGAGTTGGAAGGGGAAATTCGTCTTCGTTTCTCTGTCCTCGGGCTCCCCCTTTCGTAAGGAACCCCTCAGCTCCTTCCGACGCCGTTCCGCCTTCATCAACTCGGACAAGATGCTCGAGGATGTAGAGACGCTCTGCCGAGGGGGGCCCTTCGAGGTCGGATCGATAGTGACGAACGACGCGTTACAACTCGGATTCGTCTTCCTATCCCCGGAAGAAACTCAGCGGAGCATCGAAGAAGGCCCCTCAGGTCAGTGCAATCTCTCCTCCTCGGCCGTCCGTGGGTCACGACTACCTCGGATTCTCCCACCTCGCCTCATCATTTATCTTTTTTGGTTGTGCAGGTGAAATCATGCTTTCCAGCGCCGAGCGGATGAAGCTCATGTTCCCAGATGCCACAAGCGGCAGCTCCCGGGCTCCTACCGTGGCCGGTCGTCCTCCGACTCCGCCGGTGAAGCCGATCCCCGAGCCGGCCCAGAAGAAGAAGAGGAAGGATACGGCCTCGGCCACTGACACTCCCACGGGGTCCGAGTCCCCCCTGATGAAGGATTTCGGCCACCAGAGGCATGTCAAGGCGGCCATCCCCGCAGGGGTCTCCTTCCTGGACCAGGACTACGATCCGGAGACTTTTCTGCGTAGCATGACCCCCCGACCGACCGCGCCAAGATCAAGGACGCCGACCGGGAAGCTCTTGCTTCGGACATGTTTCACGAGATGGGCTCGGTAAGTTTCTCCATTCATACTTTGTAAACACGTTTTTTGCGGCGCTCACCCCTTGTATACCTGCAGGCGATGATGCGCATGGTCGACATGACCCAGCGACTGCGCATCAATGAGGCTGACCGGAGCAGAGCTTACGTTGAGATAGCTGACCTCAACGAGGCGTTGAAGGTGGCCAAGGAGCAAGCTCGTCAGGCCGAGGAGCGGGCTCAGCGAGCCGAGGAGCAGGCTCAGCAGATCGCGGAGGCGGCTCGGCAGGCGCGCCAGGAGGTTCGCGAGCAAGCCGTGGCGGAGTTTCTATCCTCGGGGGCATTCCAGGATGAGGCATTCGCCCGCATGAATGACCTGCTCAAGGCATGGGGGCAGACTGAGGAGGGGAAGGCCTTTGCTCGTTCCGAGGGGACCCAGTGGTACAACCTCGGTCTTTTCCGAGCGCAGCAGGTCCTCTCTGACAGGTTCCTCAACGGGGTGGACCTCCCCGAACCGTGCGACAATCCTGATGAGTTCGACGCCTCCATCTATTACCCGAATGGCGGGGACACGGCTGTCGAGCAGGCGAATGTCAATTGATAGAAACTTAAAACTTTGTATTTGATGTAATGTTGCTCAGAAGTCGTTTTTGAACTTGTGTTCTACTTATATGGATATGTCATGACTTTGTTCTATATGGGTATGTCGTACTTCTCTTTTTTCTCTACTCATGCTGCCTTCGTCCAACTTGTGTGCTCGCCCTACCCCCGTCCGACCGGAACTCGGCCACAACGAGGGGAGGTCACTTTGGGACTTGGTCCTCTGACCCCTCGTTACCCGAGACACTTGATGGAACTTGAGCTTTTGACCTGCCGCCCGCTGGGCCGTTCCCGTCCCGCCACGTGTACCCTTCCCCCTAGGCGAGATGCCTATATAAGGGAGGGGTCTTTACCATTTGCTTGCACTCATCACTTGCTTCCTTTGAATTCTTCTAATTTCATCATGCCGCGCTCGGCTCCTACTCCCCCCGATTCCAGTGAGGAGCGAGGAGAGACGTTCTCCTTCGGCAGCCATTCCCTTGGTGGTTCTTTGGCCATTCCGACCAAGGCAGGGCCAAGCTCGACCCCGCCGCCCTCGCCGCGGGACTCTTGGAACTCGGACTCTGAGTCCGAGTCAGTGCACCCCGATCCTTCTGCTAAGATCCCGGGGTTCATCTACTACTCGTCGGAGGAGGACGAGAAGACCCCCTCTCCGCCGGTTCGTCGTGAGGTCCCCCCTCCCCAAGTTGCCGCCTACCGTGGTGGCCGTGGGCGTCGCCCTCCCGCTCCTCCGGCGGCGGACGTGAGTGAGGGTTCCGTGGCATCTCATCATCTGAGTCGGCAATCCCTTGAAGACCCGGGCTCGCCCAGCTTCGCCGAATCAACCGGTCATTCTGTTGTCAGTAGGGCTCCTTCTCCATCCTCTTACCCCCCGCCTTGCCCTTGCGAGCGTGGGTGGAATAGTGGCATGCACTGAAGTTTGCCCGCACTTTAATTATTTGTAATGCGCTTAATTGTGGTAAGGCGTTCGTGCCATGTACTTGCCCGTTTTCCGGGATAAATAAAATTTGAGTTTGATTAAATCTTGTTTTCGCTTTTCGCTTTTGGGCTGAAGAGTTGCACTCGGCCTTCAAGAGGCGTGGGGCGCATTTTTTTTTACCCGCGCTCGGTTCTTCCTCAAAAAGGGGGAAATGCCGAGCACGTGCGCATGACCTTCATCCGGGAAGAACATCCGGGTATGGTTTGCGCTCGGCTCTCCCCCTTAGGGGGAATGCCGAATACAAGTGTGACCTCCATCCGGGAATGGTCTACACTCGGCCTCATTCCTAAGAGGGAGTGCCGAGTACACGTGTTTGATTGGCATCCGGAAACGCATCCGGGTATGGTATGCGCTCGGCTCTCCCCCTTAGGGGGGATGCCGAGCACAAGTGTGACCTTCATCCGGGAAGAACATCCGGGAATGGTCTACACTCGGCCTCACTCCTAAGAGGGAGTGCCGAGCACCATTGACCTTCATCCGGGAAGAACATCCGGGAATGGTCTGCGCTCAGCTCTTCCCCTTAGGAGGAACGCCGAGCGCGAGTGTTAAAGCAAGTTCTCTTCGCAAAGAATAAAACTTCATTCCATTGTCCCTCCAAAAGGATCTACGGGTTCCCTGCTTTGGGGTCCGTGTACATCGGAAATCTACTGATAAAACTTGACTAGGTTCTCAGCATTCCACGTCCTGGGCACGTCTCCTCCGCTCGGCGTCTGCAGGCGGAATGTCGACGAACCCACCGCTTCTTTAATGATGTATGGGCCTTCGTAATTTTTGGCGAATTTTCCCCCTTCCAGGGGGCGGCTCACCGCCCTCTTGCGCAAGACCCAATCTCCTTCAGTGAGCCCCCGTGCGCGCACACGTCCATCATGGTAGCTCTTCACCTTCCTTCGGTAATTTTCCGCCCGTATGAAGGCCGCTTCTCGCCTCTCGTGCACGAGGTGGAGCTCGGCTGCCAAGGTTTCTTCGTTGCGCTCGGGGTCGAAGATCTCCTCCCTATGTGTTGCAATAGAAATTTCAGCGGGGGCCCTTGCCTCAAATCCGTAGCACAGGGCGAAGGGGGTTTCCCCGGTCGCCCTCCTCGGCGTGGTCCGGTAGGTCCATAGGATGTAGGGCAATTCTTCAGCCCACTCCTCTCCGCAGGCTTCCAGCTTCCGTTTCAGACCATCGATTATCGTTCGGTTGGCGTTCTCCACCTGACCGTTCGTCTGGGGATACCCGACCGAAGCATAGCTATGCTTGATTCCCCAACTATCGAGGAAGGCATTTAAGGGCCTGGACTCGAATTGTGTGCCATTGTCTGTGATTATGTGCTCGGGGACCCCGAACCGACAGATGACTTGTTTTGCGAGAAACTTTTGGCATTGGGCTCCGGTGAAGCTCGCCAGTGGAGCTGCTTCCACCCACTTAGTGAAGTAATCGATGGCTACGATGACGTACCTCACACTCCCGGTTCCCCTAGGGAGTGCACCCACGAGATCCACCCCCCATCGCGCAAACGGGATGGCCGTGCTGATGGGGGTGTAGTTGGTTGAAGGCCTCCCCGGCACTTTCTGGAATTCTTGGCAGACTTTACACTTCTTCACAAACTCTGCGCAATCCTTGACTATCGTCGGCCAAAAATATCCTTGGAGGGTTATCTTCCTTGACACCGTGTAAGCCCCCTGGTGGGCGGAGCAAATCCCGGCGTGCACTTCCTCCATAACCTGCTTTGCTTCAGTTGGTCTAAGGCACCTGAGTAGCGTCCCGTTGTACGCTCGCTTGTATAGCTTCTCGCCTTCCAACGTGTATCCCGGTGCCCTCGTTCGGACCAGCTTGGCCTTCACCGC